CAAAACGGATGCACACCAGAACATACTTTACTCACTCCTGCCGCTGACTCCGCGTACATGTCAAGGGGCGTCGTATCAATCGAGGACCTCATTTCTTCGTCACAAAGTGGCGATTTCTTGCTCTGATACCAGTGCCTGATATGAGTATTTTCGACAGCTTGATCTGAGAAGACCAGGACATTGGTAGACGTCTCAGTCTCCTCTATACCATGTAGATAGTATTCGAAAGGCTGATTTGCATCGTAGATGACTGCCCTTCGATTGTTCATAAAAATCTGGCGTTCCTCCTCGGACCGCTTTGACGGCGGTTCAAGCTTGTGCAGGTTCGCAAATTCTTCGCCGATTTTTGCGAGCCGTCTACGGTCCTGCGTTAGGGCTTGGACTACAGTGTTTATGAGATAGTTATTAGCTATCAATTCTGTAACGCAGATTAGTCTATGCTGGGTTGCGCACGGGGCAGTTGTCAGCACATACCACAACCGAACTTTACACTGGCATGAAAAATGATCTCCCTAACGCGCACCTCCATCTTGGCCTTCTCGTCTCTGGTGCTGTTCCTGATCCAGCCGGTAGTTGCACCGTCCATAACGAGGCGCAATTTCGCCCATTCGATGGCTCGTTGCTGTGTTTTACTATAATCCTTCCTGCTACACTTAGGCTGTGGAGCTTCTGGCAAGTCTGTGATGCAACGAGCGCTATCGGCATCATCTATTACGCTTGCTGACGCTAGCGATGTAGAAGGCCTTGAGCTAGGCGTGCTGCGTGCATATGGGTTAAAACGTGATGAACCGAGTTGAGCAGGTATCCCCCGCTGTCTGAGACTAGAGTGATCGTCGGGGTCGAACTCAATCGGTGTAAACATTGATGATTCTGGGGCGTCCATCAAGTAGGCTTGGAAGGGGGAAAGTGGGAAGCTAAATCAGCGATGTTTGAAGTTAAATAGTCAAGAATCAATAACGTTGATTGTACTACTGCAGTCGGACGAGCCATCAATTATCTCACATGTCACAATGTATTTGGATAAACTTACGGTTATTGCAGGCGAGGTCTTGCGCAAGCATCACAGGTACAGGCGGTACTATTCAGGCTGATTCAGAGCCGTCGTTGACAAGCGATTATGGTCTTCTGAACATCATTTTCGGTCAAATACAGACGTATTATGCATCATGCCCGCCATGCCCGCTAAACGATCAATATTTTGACTCACCTTGAGGACACCATGTGGTGTGGTGCAAGATTGGTACGCGGCCTTCTGGATGCCATTTCCGACTTGTTCTGATAAAGAATTATGTTCAATCGTGCCCACAGAATGATCACGATAAGTGTTTGACTCAGCTCCATGCGGTACAATCAGCTAGGAGGAATGACGGAATAGGAGTCCTTCTATTTTCTGGAAGGAAGCACGGCTCCTAGACCTAGACTCGTGATAGTGCCTTATGCCCAGTTAGTAATTAAATATGATCACCTTGGTGCTGCAGGACATGATAGTACGTGCATTTCTGGCTAGCGAACCAAGTTTCAATGCTTCCAAAACCCTGATAAGGTCAGGAGACTTCAATACATATAAGAATATCAATTACCGGGCATTCTATTACATCTGTACATTGATCGACATTCGAATCAGTAAATTGTGAGGAGAAAAGCTTCGAAAACCCTGACAAGGTCCGCGTCAATCACGATACAACGATATCGATGACTGGGCATTCTATTACATATGTCAAGTCTGCATAGTAATCGGCGACATCCGGTGACGTTAGTTAGTCACCTTGGACCCCAGCAACACTTCGCCAGTGCTCCTAGCCCGAGTAAATCTTAGTAAGTCCGCTTATTTTTCGGAATACATGACTTGCCGCTCATCCAATGACTTTCCCCACTTCGTTTATCTCCTCTCGCCTCATTATGTCCTTGACCAGCGCTATCAGGACAGGTATCTTTGGGTTGTTTGACGAACGAGTTTGTCCGTCTGGCCAGAAACTTGCTATTCTCACTTCAAGCTGGCAGAGAAGAGCCAACTTATCTTCCAGGCTCTTTGACGAAGGTCGGTCTAGGTTATCCTCAGAGTTCCTTCACGAAGTTATAAGAATGGCACAACGTAAACGCGAGCTCCTGCAGGCTAAAGAAAGGTGAGGTATTACAACAAACGTTAGGCTGCGGACTTACTCGTCTGTGTTGTGCTTATACACGTCGTCCCTTAGTGTGATGTAATGACTTGGCCTGCTAGCTGTACAAGCAATCAGCGGTCGAAAAAGGTTGAGTGACTGTAATAAATGAATCGCATCAGCGAGGCTATCTCCCGGTTTCTTTGACGAAGGTTTGTCCCTTGACAGCGAGAGTTTGCCACTGTCACTTTGGCTAACTTTTGTGTAATTAGTATGTTGACTACCACTACTTTAAGTTGAAATATACTCGTCTAATATATTTACTGTTTGATTATGAAGCCTGCTCGTCGAGAGGGAACTGTATGTCAGACACAAGAACGGGCCACCGGTCTTGGTCTTCAGTCGCGCGTCTGACCGCTGACATCGAGTGCGCTGGGTAGCATCACGCAGGATGGAAACCGTCAAACAGCCCAGATTGATTTCGTAGGACACAGGCGACACAGTAAACCACGATGGATTAAGTGCGGCGACGGACAGGATGGAGACCTCTGCAGAAGCCTGAAGGTCATGTGAGCGCGACGTAAAACGTTGAATAACGAAATAATGGGTGTAAGACAGCGACTCACACTGAGAACAAGAAAAACCAACTGATTCCTTACCCACTTGAACCACGACATCGTCGCAAGAAAACAGACATCCTGAGATGACGAGTGAGCATTAATACATGCACGACAGAACATGTACTGGGACAAAAAGCATGGACATACAAGCACCCGCCTGAGGCAGGCGCACCCGAAACCCTGGACGAAAGATGAATTTGTTGAAGGCCGGTGACGGGAGTCCTGGTCGAGTATGTAATTTGATCCTTGCACGTATCTTGTTCTTCAGAAGATTCGGGAGCCGAACAGTTTCGGAACAGTAACAGGTCACTCAATACTCAGAGTCTGACGACAGAATTCAGGATGTCAGACATCTTAGTCACGATAAAGCCGCTACGTACATTGAAATCAAACTACATATAATGCACATGCGGGTACGGAGATAGGATGACACAAAATAGATTATAGATTTGAGTCATCGGACGGGCAGGCTGAGCTGCCACGAGATGCGGCGATTGCAGCTGATTCTTCATCGGAAGAACTTTCACACCAGGGCCCAGCAGCATCGTTAGGATCAAACCTAGAACCCATGCTCCCTATTTGCGCGACCCCAGCGTCCTGAAGCATATTTCGGATGGAGCCGATTTGTACATCAACTCCACTCAACTGCGTCTGGCACAGCTCGGTTTCGTCGTCAAGAATTGACTTTATCAAATCTAGTTCGCGGGAGCGAAGGCGTTGGTATCGCAACCTCGCAGCAATAGCTCGGCGAGTGATTCGTGAGAGCTCGAGCATGCGCTCGTTGAGGTATATTGTAGCTGCGGAGGAAGGGGTAGACGTAAAGTTCCACTTCGGAAAAAAAAATGAGAACTACAAAATCTGAAAGCAACAATTTAAATGGACAGACCGTCGTTTGCAAGGTCTTTGACCTTTTCGTAGGTAAATCGCAGTCCTCGTCCTGTCTGCCGGCCTGAAATACTGTGTATTGGACAGGGCGTTTACGGGGGTCGCGAGCGTGACATTTTCCCAAGTTGAAGGCGCGAGCCCACTCAATGCGAAGTCCAGGGTTGTCAGCAGACAAAATGGGAGAGTCCATGCTCTTAGCAGGAGAGCCACTGGTGGCAATAGATGTGGGGGGTGTGGATCCTGCATTCGATTGGGTTTTGCTGGGGTGTATGTATAAGCGGAAGTGAACATATTGTTAAATAAACATACCTAAGATTGGAGCCAGAGGTGTTGGTCAAGGAATTGCTGCTCTTTGACTCAGAAGAGCTACTCATGGCGAATGGCCTGACGGTCGACCTATAATACAGCGTGAGAGGAGGTTTGAATGTGGACTTGCAGTATACCAGCGTAATCCCCCGGTGACCATAATTGGCAGACCAAATAGTGCGTGAGAATACCTACACAAATTCTGGTGTCTAAATTTAGACGTGTTGGTCCAATGTTCATATCACATAATACATACGAGCTCTGCCAATGGAACAAGACACTGAGATCAAATGGCATGGTGATCATATTAATTTGATGCTTGGTATGATGAAGGACATGATGTCCGTGCGTGGTATGGTAGCAGTGATGTGACTAACGAGCGCAGCCTGCTGCAGCAGCTTCAAATTTTAAACTCCGCTTATGGTGGGCGTGCCGTTTGAGCTTGAAGTGAGCTCGCGAACAACAAGCTCAAACAAGTGCTTACTAAGCGAGACAAACGCGCCCTTCGATTCGAACCTTTGATTACGCGTCTTCGTTTCTCTTCCCGCGTTTGCTCGCCGTCAAAAATTTTCTTACCCGCCCACCACATCCCCTTTTGTGTCTTGGTAGGTTTTGGGCTGAGTCGTGCTTTTGCTTCTGAAAACCTCCCATTTTTCCTTGAACGCGGCACTAGTAGGTATCATGTAAGTGGCAACGTGTGAAAAATTAACTCAAGGTGACGGTTTGCAGTCTCACAAACGTGACACATGACAACTCAGCCACAGCGCTGCCTTCCTCGTTGGGCTCAATTGCCAATCGCGCCCCACCTGGACCTGGACCGACGATCGGCACAATCTCATGAGCGCTCCGTTCATGATTATAGGTATGTGCCGTCTTTGTCTGGCCCTAGAGACTCATCAAATCCCTGCACCAGGTACCAACGTACTCTGTTAATGGTTACAGGTGCGCTAGAGAAGCTCATGAACGCTCCGTTCATGATTATGGGTATGTGCCATCTCTATCTAGCCCTCGAGACTCACCAAATCCCTGCACCGGGTACCAACGTGCCCTGTCAATGGTTACAGGTGCGCTGGGGAAGCTCATGAGCGCTCCGTTCATGATTATAGGTATGTGCCGTCTTTGTCTGGCCCTCAAGACTCACCAAATCCCTGCATCAGGTACCAACGTGCCCTGTCAATGGTTACAGGTGCGCTGGAGAAGCTCATGAGCGCTCCGTTCATGATTATAGGTATGTGCCGTCTCTGTCCAGCCCTTGAGACTCACCAAATCCCTGCACCAGGTACCAATGTGCTCCGTTCATGGTTACAGGTGCGCTGGAAAAGCTCATGAGCACTCCGTTCATGGAGACAAGACAACTAGATTATGTAGTGCATACTTATGTGTAGCCTTGCGGTGGACGGTATGTTTGCGTTGCTACTACTTGCACCAAACACTACATGATGATCAGAGCCATTCAGTCCTGAAGCTGTGAACGTCTCTAATGTTACTGCTTTGACTAGTAATACAGAAGGCAAACCCCACTTCAAGCACATCGCCGAGGGTGCAAATTTGTTCTATTCGCACGGTGGCACTGGCACCTCGACAATCGAGAGAACAGTACAAATAGTACAACGATCTTCCCGTGCGTCACAGTCGACGGACCCTTCCGAATCGTGGCTATACGGTACTACTACTTGTACTACTGCTAGACCTCTCCACCGTGACCGTGACTTCCATCAAACAGACAGCCCACCTGCCACAGCTAGTGAAAGTGCCATCGCAGCTTCTGAAATGCATGGTCATCAGATGCGGTCAAGCTATAAAGTAACGTCACCCGCACCAGTCCCGGAGTCATCCGAGTCGCTGGACGTCGAAGCTGGATTAGTCACTAACTATGCCTGTCCATTTTTAGTAAGTCGCAAAGAAGCATACTTTGTACGATCAGCGCTGAATTCAATATTTAACTTCACGGTCTTTAGTGAATGTCAGTCACGGATTTGGGCGGGCCACCAGCATATAAAATGGGTGCTGGTTGAGTCCTTTTCTCTTGTCTTCGCCTCTCATTCCTCATCTACTACTTATCGAACATCTTCCTTCCGAGTCTCTTATAGATGTCATCCACCGAGGGCAGCACAGCGCTCATCACTGGCAACCCCAGCCGCGGCACGTCTGAGTCGTTCATCGACGAGCAACGGAGCGACCACGGTCTTCTGCAACCTCCGCAGCCAGAACCATCTCCGAGTCAAGCATCGTTCGCGCAAGCTCGGCAGAGACGCAAAATTGCCGAACTGGAAGAGAAGATAGAGACTCTTGAGTCGGGGCGAGCTGTGAAAGAAAGGTATGACTCGGACTCCAACGCCGTTGCATACGTTGGATCGGGTTTGCTCACCATGACGCGTCAGGCAAACAAACTACTACCTGGCCCAAGGAAGAGGCCTCAGGCGCATCGTTGCTCTATTCGATGGCATCGAGGATCTCGTGTCAGAAAATGACAGAAGATATGATGCCGATGCCGATGAAGACGCGGAGGCTGCTACTGTTGAGTCAGTTTTTTCTCCTGACTAGTTTCTCGTAGCCAGTGTCCCCGTTGACTTCTTTATGTAGCCAAGATAGGCTGCATGTAGGGTATCACGTCCTAACGAGAACCTTTACGTGGTTTGTAAAGAGTGTCTCGGACATGGAGCACGATGACTACACGCGGATGTTAAAATTTGTACGTCTTATCTCTACCAACGATGGACTTTATCACGTTAAGTTTTTGTTTAGCTCAGGCAAGGAGCTGATGGCGCTCGAGGAGATGATACCTCGAAGCTCAAGACTCTTATTTCAGACTGGGTTAATCGCGAACTGAAACCAGACCCTCAAGTTGACTCCGAAGATAAGCATTGTCGTGGATTCGTCAATGATGCCTGCGGTATGTTACTGTGCCCGGCTGAGCTTGACTGGAACAACCCAGCGTAAGTAATGCACTCTGGATCCTGAACAATGCTAATGGTTCACCAGCATAAGGGCAGGTATTCGAGATCGATCGGAGGGCCATATTGTTACGGAACTCTCCTTTCCGACCTTTTTATATGAAAAGTACAGTGCAAATTCGGACGATCTGGAAGACGGGCTTTTCAAGGGAAAAATTCTTTTGCAGGTTTGTCATATCCGAACTTCCCAAAACTCATCTTACCTCATTTTCAGGGCTATAAAGCTGTCTTCACCTCACCATCTTCAGCAAAGGATACCGAGGGTGACGGCGATGGCGCAGATATCGTCGAGAACAACAGGCGAGCGAAGAAAGCACTTACGGGAGTCAAGGTTAAGAAACACGTGGCACAAATCATCAAGATGGATAGAGTTACTCCGCGATCTATTGCATACATTGCCTGTCAGGTAAGCAATGATAATGGTTTTATTTTGATCAATGGTAAATGATGATCGCTCAGGTGCGATTCGCGCTTTCGTCCGTTACCTCGTGGCAGGTCGGTCGACGGTGACTTCGACTATATACAATTCTGGAAAATCATAGTGGATTTCTTCGAAAGGCCTCCTGGCCGAGAAGCACAGCGCAGAGTCAACAGACTCCTGGAGTGGTGGACCAGGTGCGCTATCTGTCCTTTCAACAAGTCTCGATTGATTATCTCAAGTTGTTTAATAGGAAGGTTTTTGGTAGGAGTCGCCGCGAGGACCTCAGCGATGCGACAAAGGCCAACATGTCTGTGAACGCTCTCGCGAGGCAGAGGGCACACCGCGACGATACTTCTTTTGATTCAAACTAGGGACCTATTATTATCTTAGCATAGCATCGTGTTTTCATTCAACTTCCTTGCTTGTCGCAGTTTAATAACGATAATGTTACTTGCCATCATGTGATGCCTGATATGAAACGCCTGTTTGCTTCTAGTCTTCACAACAATCACCGCGCATAATGTAGTATAAGCAAATGAAAAGGCCATCGAATTCAAAGTCTTAATTCCTTGCAGTTCTTAAGAGGTTCATATAAATACTTTACTTTGCCTGACGATCACAGTATCGTTGAATTGAGAAGCTAAATCATCGAGATTCTAAATGCTCACATAGATAATACCCCCGCAGGGCGCAAAGACACCCAATTGTAAGGATGGATGGGCTAAGTATACACGAAGGCTGTTGAATGGTAAGCGAAGTACCGTGGTGGGGTATGACCCTTGGCTGTCGAGTTCCGGGTCAAGATACTAAGTGACAACTCTATGGCGTCCAGGCAAAGCTATGACTTCTTTGAACGCAGTTGCAAGTGATGTGCCTCTGCCAGTCTTTAGTAAAGCAAAAAACATGACTTAGAGACCCGAACCACGGTACAAATCGATTATTTGCCCACCCAGTGAACATATCTCGACTACTGCATGAAGGTAAAGCTTTTTCACACGCATTCCCAATTGATATCCGCCAGACAAACATTAGAATTCTAGAGTAGACAGTGGAGTCTTGTCAATCCAGGAAGTGTAGCGCAGGAGAAGTGCGTCGCTGCAACGATATGACGTCCGCGCGCAGCCACGACTTTGTGTGGATGCATGAACCAGTAGATACGAGGGATGTCGGATAGCAAGGTGGGTACCGAGATGATGCATGAGCCTTCAGCACCGAGTTCGAGGGAGAGGTGCGTCGCTGCAACGATACAACGTCCGTGCGCAGCCACGACTTTGCGTGGATACATGAACCAATAGATATGGGGGATGTCGGATGGCAAGGCGGGTGCCGAGATGATGCATGAGCCCTCAGCACCGAGTTCGAGGGAGAGGTGCGTCGCTGCAACGATACAACGTCCTGCGCGCAGCCACGACTTTGCCTGGATGCATGAACCAATAGATTTGGGGGATGTCGAGTGGTAGGACGGACACCGAGGTGATGCATGAGCCCTGAGCACCGAGTTCGAGGGAGAGGTGCGTCGCTGCAACGATACAGTGTCCGGGTTACAGTCTAACTTCTCATGACGCAGTTGCAACTGGTATATAATTGTCAGCCATTAGATACACAAAGAAGGTCACCTTAAGACTCGAAGCATGATACAAATTGATTGTTGCCTGCTTGTTGGCCATAACCCAGCTGCTACGGAAAGGCATAGCTTATTCGCACGCGTTCCAAATTGATACATAGCTGACAAACATCGGAATAACAAAGATGCGGCGTACAAAGTCGAAGCACGCAGGAATTTTCTTGTGGCCGTGTGCTCGGATGAATACATTCTTGTAGTCAGGAGGATACAGGCTTTCACGTTTACATGTGAATTTGACATGAAAGTGACGGAAAATTAGCTTTTCAGGTAGGTGTATCAAGATTTAATAGCGTACACACATATATAGTCCCTCGCTAAGGTTAACGCAGCCTCATTCCCTGCAAAACTCGGGCTTTTAGTCTTGGCTTGGATATTGTAAACCTTACCGCCGATATGACAATTTTGATTCGTGTAGATCAACCAGTAGCTTTTTTTCCACCTTCCCTTCGACTTTTACTTTGAGCGATGAAGAGACCTTTTTCCGATCTTAGCGTTTTATGGTGAAATCAGAAAAACTCCTTTCCGATATAAGGGCAAAAATGACAATGTGATGCTCGATAGCAGAATTATGTTGGTTATTGTGATTATGTACTATATATTGTGATATATGGCCTTGTACTTTCCTCACCAGTTCACTGATGTGCTAGCTTTGTTTGTGTCTCTTGCCTCGAATTTGCAACTCCCTCTATAGAGCTCATGGTGCGCTGACCCGTTGTTGACATCTGCGTGCAACCAATGCTCATCATTTCTGTAGAATCAAAATTCTATTGGAACTCGGATACTTTATGGTGCTCTTCCGATTTTATCGGTCGTGCAGATGTTTGTGCTAGGACCACGCCTCATTCTTAGCGTCCGAGAATACCACGCCAAACTCATGGAAGGCTCCAACGCAGAAACTAGCATGAATTCGATTGTTTTCAAGGAGCGTGTACATGTATCCACTAGCAGTATTGTGTAGGGAAATGTTTGTTGAGTGGTCTGCAGGGAGGAGAAATTTGGCCGAAGATCCTTAGTGGTATTCATTTACTTAAGATATGGTGTTTCGAAGTATATTTGAAAGGTCTAGGCAAAGCTATTTCTTGTTGTATCTGCCAATAGTCTCCTCGCTGATGGCCCTTCTCCACAAGGTATACCTAGCTATGAGTCAAGTCTTTTCTACTCAATGAATGTAGGACCGCGAATATGAGCACGTGGAACGGAGTTCTTCGGTCATCAACTTATACAGACAAACATCACTGTACCGTGAAAAATTGGACTGTGAAACATGTATACTGATAATGCTAGCTATAGTAGAGGTAGCGTTGCCGAGCTCGGACAGCTTATAATACAAATTGAATAAATTATGGGCGATATGACAGAGTTTAGTTTTGAACCTGCATAGTTGGCTCAAGGTGTGCCTGGGAAGCCATTGGGGTGACCAATGTAGTTTTGAATGGACTCGTTTCTGATGGTCCTTCGATAGCGCCTGTGAGTCGAGCCGCTTCTGTTGAATGACTAAGGGTTGTGCACAAGAGCGGAGCGGAATGGGCCAGACGCATGTCTACCTTATATATAATATCATCCATCTGAGCTGCAGAACGAATCGTGCATGAAGAGTGGAAGTAGGCACTATATCGCGAGTTTGATGTCTGTTCAAACATGATTCAACCATATTTAGCAGGATGATTTAAAAAGAGACCGACGGGGGAGTATATGCCTTTGTCCCGAATGAATGCGCGTGGCAAGGAGATGACAAGTGCTGAGCGGAAAGTATAGAAGAGATTCAAGTCGAAAGGCATCAAGCGCACCTGGGAAGTATCAGTAAGGCGCCCACCACCCTTGTGATCTGTTGACACCCATAGAGGAAGTTGCACGTCTGTCAGCGTGAAGCACCGAACCAGATTATGGATCCATCTGTTGACACCATCGTCATCAATAACTGTCACCGTGAGTAGCATGTCAATTCAGACAGCTGGTATGGCAACGGTCTCGCTCATCCATCTAGACCAGTTGGTGGACTCGGGCAAATTGAATGAATTCTGTTTTTGAAAATGAGAACGAAGATTTGCGGAAGCCCAGATAGCTGATAAAGCAATGGTTCCTCGTGGATATCATCATCCATCTGGGCTGTCCATGCCGTGTAGATGGATGACGAGAGGAAAACAAGCGCGTTGCTGGTAGTGAGAGCATATCCTAAACGAAAGCCCATAGAAATGCTTACCCTGAGCATTGAAATACGTGGTTTGATCGATAGACTGGTGCATCGTCCTTGGGTGGGGTTGGGGTAAAGTCTAGGTCTAGGTGCAAATCATTAATCAAGCGATTCTATTGATGCTCGAGGACGGCGGATGCATGAGCGCTGCTGTATCGATGGCGAGTCTAGCATATGCCGTCGACAGATGGAGTGGGGTAAACAACTTACAACTGGCCAAAACCAGACGCCCTGAATAAGCGTCTCTAATGTATATGCCAGTGCCAATTCTTTGGGGGTGCAGAATCCTAATATTGGAATGTGCAGATATCCAGCATGGGTGCATATGGGCGGGGATTATCGGTTCGGAAATTTGAAGAGAAGACGTGTAGGAATCAAGGAATAGAACTATGCCAGCGTGCTCGTGAGGCTGGCAAAGTATTTCATGGCGTACAAAGAAGGTCCAATTAGTACTCAGCCTCAGATGGCATAATGTCCGTCGAACTTTACGTGCACGTCAATTCTGGTCCCTCTGATAGCCGATTACTTGCAGGGGTGACTGCCACAGTCTAGCAGAGTGGTTCATTTGTCGACTCTCGGCAAACACCGAAGGCAGTAAATGGCTTTCAGACTCAGACCAATCTTCAACTTGAACGTCGTTAGTACCTTGCCGATGGAGGCCCCGTGTCTTCTGTACCATGTTTGGTACGCGCCAGAAAACACTGCTATCATTCATTGATCGTGTCCAGTATCATGTGTGTCTTGAGCCGCCTGCCTCAATATGGTCTATTCTTTCTCTGGATCGTCATCATACCCAGCAGCGTGTTTGGTGCTTTATTGCACACGACCGGTGACCAACGGGCGATTTCAGCAATCAAGCCTCAATGCGCCTGCAACCACAGGCCCTACTAGGTCTGCTAGTCACTTACACTATGACTAAGATTCTGAAGCAATGGTATGTCTGTACGATAATAATGAACGTTCCACGTGATCTTTTGACACCAAGTACTTCAATTATGATCTGCAAATAGGCCCGTAGAGCTGGAGGTTACACAAGTTATCCGCGCTGCCACTCACATGAAGATTAACTAGCAAATAACCCTGAACTATGACTGCAAACCAGCGTCTTGCTCCTGACCCAAATGTGGTTCAGTCCTACTGACCAAATCCTGGCTTTGTACCAGACTGGCTAGAAAGGTTCGAAGGCGCAAGTCAGGCACTAGGAGGAATAATATGAGAGAAGCAGAAACCACACTTGGTCTTCAGCTGCACAGATTTCGTGTCCTCGGTTTCCACATTGAGCTAACAAGCTCATCATGAAGTTTGAAGGCGATGATTGGATGTGTAAGTGAAAGCCACGAGCTGCAAATACAATGGGATTGTGTCTGATTCACCGAAATCCCAGGTTCATAGTGAAAAAGCAGGATTATGAGATGGTATGTCATTCGGACTTTGGCTATGCGTTTGCAGATGTGGGATCATCAGACTATGTTACGACATTCGTAGCCTGTCCATGAAATTGCTGAGCGGATCTCCCTGTCAACTTGCAACCTTATCGACTACGGCCTAAGGCAGCACTGAAAAAACATCGCTGAAATGCAATGGCCATCGACACGAACCTGTACAATCAGAAATCAGGCTCTTTGCCTGTTACAGGCTTCTTGCATGTGCGATTCGTCTTTCGACCTAGTATGGATGACGTCTCATATGTTTAACAGATATCAACAGCACGCGCTAGTCAAGATGTATTTGCCAGTGTAATATACTACCATCGCATCAAGGGCACGATTGGATGCACTAAATACAATGCGCTGATGTTGTTCTCGTCTGACCTTGCGCCATGCCACATAATGCGACCCTATTACAAACAGCAATCGGAGGAGCTGATAGCAAGCCTCGAGCTTGACCAGCAAGGCCGAGAGCGCAGCTTGGTATGGGACACCTCAACAATATTAATGGTGTTGGAAATTGCAAATCAAATTCTACTTTGATTATCGAGAGCTTGTACTCTTTGCTCGATTTCGCAACCTTCCACACAGATTATCTGGGTCCTTGAGGTGTGATCAAATATCCACGACTATCCTGCAGATCTTGGCGATACAAGCGCCGAACGGTGATATATCTAGCACGAATGCTATCGCTATATACCACAAAAATTCTTTACTCTCACACCCATCCGTCAAATATCACTGTGGTCTCAAACGATCCCACTCAGTGGCCGCTAATGAATTTACTTATTTTTTTCAGCTATTGGAACAGTTCGTTGTATCAGAATGTCTAGATCTAACTTTGACTTACGGTTTGACAGTTGCCGCTGGCGTTGCAGTAATATACGACTGGGGTGAGCAAAACGGTGTTCAGGAACTGCTGATATTCTCACAATATTTCCAGCACTAACACTTGGACAAGAGGTAGGTCGATGTTATCGCCGCTGCAGCCAGCTCTCTAAGAATGGTGTCGTAGATTGAACTCATCTGGGTTAGTGACAAGAATTTCGTATCAAAACAAAACAAGAGCATGCAATGACTTCGCGACAGAGACAACGCTGGTCTCTGATGTCTGTGCTGTATCTGCTTGTTCGTACCTCATGTTATGCTATAACGTGGTTGGCAGTTGTGCTGACTCCACAATGTTCCAGATACGCTACATTGGACTACCATACTCTGTGTATGTGTCCATGCCAACGAATTGACACTGCTAATAACCCATCTTTGACAATTAGTACTAATATTCTGCGTATGTGTCATATGCGCTGTGTTTAATTCTTCTGATCGTGGCACAGAAAATATGCCAATGGTCACTCTAACAGATGCAGTGAGTATTCCGCAGCCATCTCATTCCCATATACTGAATACACTAAATTGTAGGGGTGAGTGAGATTCTGAACGCTGCATGTGGCTCAACATAATGATGCAATAGGTGTAAGTCGACGCATTTGCTACTAATACAAG